ATGTAAAAAATTCAAATAATATAAATGAATGGATATACATACCTTTATATTAAAGTATTTAAGTACTTTTTAAAAATATATTTAAAGTAGTAAAAGAAATTGAAAAACAATTTGCGTAACAATACAATAAAAACAACATTATAATATTGTCAACAAAACATAACCTCACCTTCACAGATTCCAATTGAGCCTTATCTAGAATAATAATTAAACGCTTTTCTTGATTTTTTATATGAGCTATTTGAAGATGCTTAGGATGTGGATCGTATTCAAAATCATCCTTTTCATTACGATTCTTACGTTTTTGACCCATCTTCTACACGTTTACTAAACGAATTGAGATTACAAGAATGGTTATAAACATTCAATATCATGTGAACCATGTGGCGAGTTCTCAGCAAGACAATATTTTTTGAAACGTCATCTAGTGGAAGTTGTAGTAATCATTTTATGTTCTTATCCTGCCATGTGCTAGAAACATAGTCTTTCTTAAGTCTATGATAGAAGCACAAACAATCCATAAGCATAGAACAACACTATAAACTTTTCTAGCTAAATTAACTGCTTCACCGGCTTGGAAATTCAGAAATGATTGAAGCGCCTTTACAGTGGATTCTGAGTTCCCTTACTTACCCACTATTTCGATGTCGGGTTCGACCACGGACGAGAGATACGAGAAACTGTACATTTAATGTAAATTTTTGTCACACGACGGGGAGTACGTGACCATCTTATCCTTCTCGTTTCACTTACAACTTTACCAACAGAATTCACATAAATACAAATGAATACATAAAAAGCGTGTTCTTTTGGTGAAACTTCCAAAAACCTGACAAATTCAATGGAGCTAAAATTTTGAAAATAATTTCATTTTGCATAAAAACAGTGTTTCGAAAGAGATTTTTGGCAATTTTAAAATTCAGGTATAAAATTTTGCGAAGAAGTGTTTTACCATTGTAATGTCACTCTGTATATATGTACGTTACCGTTATAATGTAAGATAAGCACCGCTTCACGATGCATACGGACGGACATAGCTATTCTTGAAAACATCAGGGAAAATTATAGTGAAAATGGTAGGTAAGGGATTAAGGCGCTGTAAAATAGTATATTATTAAACATTTCTTGTCACTTTTGGTTTCCAGATGTCGGAACAAAGTGTTTTAAGATTTAAGTTTTAATAATAATTGAAATGTTTTTTCGCAAAATTTTGTGTCTTAAATTTGTAATATCAAGCCAATTTAAACATAAAAGTTTAAAAAATGACAAGGAGTGACATGAAATTTCTAAAACACTTTTTTGCAAAGTTTTGCACCTTAACTTTCTAATCCTTTCCACAAACATTGTTTCTATCTAAAAGGGATCTATATGCAAAATTTTAATCTCATCAGATTTGTTAGGTTCCGCAAGTTTCACTGATTGCAACAATTGCTGTCTCCTATATACCGATGCATCGGTTTAAATGTAATTCTTATATTCACCACTTTTCATCATAGGAAACGTAACTTTTTTTTATACAATCGATATTTCAGATTATCGAACACGAAATCTCATAAGATGTTCAGTCTATTCTATGTCTCATCGATGCTGCACATTTTATCATCGATGACTTTCAGCAGTGATCGTCGTAAGTCTTTGATGATTAATATTATTAAGTGTCACTAATAGATGGCAGCATGTACTTCAATACGCTGCTATTTACAATTCATTTATTTGACGACAGGTGGCACTTTGATGACGAAATACGTGTATTATTACTCAATTAGATTCATTTATTTAAAATTATCGTATATGTTTGAATACTAGCATATTGTACTGATAATAAATGCTAAAAATAGTTTTTTTATTAACAAGTTTATTAAAAGGATGATTGATTCGTATTGTTTATATTTTGTTTCATAAATGTTCAGATATTTTTGGAAGAAGTAAACAATGCTTTTGACGTGTATGCTGACTACTGGTAAGCTAAAATCGCGTAACAAAGAACGCAAACTAAATCGAATCTGATAAAATGTAAAAAAAGGACAGACCATGAACATGGTTGTCAATATGGTATTTATATCTCACTTTGTCGTTTGCATTCTTTGTTACGTGATTCGATCAAGAACAAAATCATCCTCTTGCTCCTGTACACTTTTAATTTGCCTATAGTCGGCACAAACTGTGAGAGATCTACTAGTTAGTCCTTACTGTATATATATATATATATTAATAATATAATGTTGAATAACTAATCATATACATGAATTGGATTAATGATTAGCAACAATGATTAAAGACAATGTTTTCTGGTTAATTGGGCTTTTATAATAATAAATGACATTCTTATAACATAATTATTCAATATTTATTCTTTCAATTTTTAAAAACATTAATACTAAAATCTGATGAAACACGTGAAGGTTATACACATTCTTTAATTGGACACCCGTATTCCTCAATATAATATTCCATTGATTTTTGTTTTAGTAAAAGTCAACATTAAAACAATTTTGTTAACTTTATGAATTTAAAGTGATTTTAGTTTAAAATTATTTTGTTGATATTACGTTAGTTTTATTTTAATTACACCGCAGAAAATGCAATAAATTATAAGACAGCATATAGGAATTTCGTATCTGATAATCAAGTGGAAAGAAAATTTTATACAGATTATGGAGTAGTTGTTAATATTTACTTATATTTTCGTATTTCCGGTATTGGTTGAAATTGCCAAAAAATTCATCTTCTAAATGCAAATCCTTTTCTGCGACTTTTAATGTCAACTAACTGTTGTGCTTGTTTTTTCAAACCACCTCTAGATGGTACGTCCTCTTCATCTTCGGATAGAGCCGCGGCTGGTGTCGCTGACGACGGAAATCTTGAGAAAAGTTGTACTTCGTTTGAACGCATTGCCTTTCCCTCCACTGACGTTGTTGCAATTGATGCTGTTTCCATCTGAAGGAATCAAATTTAAACATAATTTTGCAATGTATGCATAGGAAATTGTAATAATTGTTACATCGTAAAGGGCTTAACAAAACCTCTACACACAGTAAGATTTCTACATTCTTATAGTTCTATATTCCTTGTTTGCAATTTAGAATAAAAATGTTTGATTTCGTAGGATTTTTAACAAAAAGAATACAATTTAATAATGCATCTATGCACAAATAATTAGGAACTATTCGAAGTACATTCTGTTACAAACATATTATAATTATCTATAACCTATTTTAGAAGAGGATGAAGGAATTAGAAATTAATTTTACATTATCACATAGTGTTGTATTAAGAATGATAATAAAAAAATATAGTCTAGGCATATTGAACTTGAAAAAACTGAAACTCTAATCTAATTTTTACAGATCTCACTGGAAAATATTTCGTTCCCTTCTTTAGAACTTGGAGAACCATTCTGTTCTTCTGTTCTAGCCACAGATTATTCTTGGTCATGAATGAGCTAGGTTCAAGGATAGAAAAAGATGGTTCCTATTTTTTATTTTTCTCTCTGAATTTTTGTTTTCATGAATTTTAATGTAATATCAATTTCAATAATTCCTTACGTAAACATTAAATACATTGACTTTATCATCATCAAGATGACGCAGTGATTGAAATGTAGTTTAAGATCATATTTTTAGCTTACTCAGTGTTTACTCTGAGACTTCATTGTGCTTTTTAAATTATTTCATTTTCGATTGAACGTTTATTTGGTTTCATAATTTCGTCACCGCTGCAATGTGCAAGCGATCAGCTGTAAGTACTTGCAAGTCTTCAGACCTATCGGTTCCGCTATCCAGTGCATGTACGAATCATGGAGCAAGGTGCCGCGCACCGTAGGACGGTCCGTGCTCGCTTGATCGTTCTCCGGCTTGTCTTCGTCTGGGAACCTACTCTTTGTAATCCGCTACGAGTCCCCTTCTACGGTCCTGCTTGCAGGGCCGTAGCATGGGACAAGGTGTTGGGAGCATGCCATTCTGTGTTAACCAGGGATTGAAAAGGTTTCGAAAATAATTGTTTGAAACTGTTATATATCGTTCCGACTGAAGCAATTATGAAGAACCGGAATAAAGTCATAACTGTCATTAGCTATATCGGTTTGGAGCTACATCGGTTTTAGTTCCGGCTCTTCGGAATCAATATTATATCAGTTTTATAGCGGTTCTATAACTGTTATTTATCGGTTCTGTATTTCGGTTCTGCGTTTCTTTCAGAACCGAAAAATAACAGTTATAGAACCGCTATAAAACTGATATAATATTGATTCCGAAGAACCGGAACTAAAACCGATGTAGCTCCAAACGGTGTCGTAATTATTTTCTACCCCTGGCATTAACACTCGATTTACGAAAACCGTCAATTTGATTGGTATTAAATTTTATAAACGTCATTGAGTAAAAGAGTAAGTCGATTTTGATTGATACGATTTGATTGGTGCCATTGACATACAAAAACATATTTTAATTTTCAATTTGTGAAGCTCTATTTTCAAAGATCAATATGAATGAACCCCTATTTTTCTGGGAATAATATAATGTAGCGTGTCATAAGCGTCGGTAAATCTAGTGTTAAGACCCATATACACATTGAAACCTGTCGCGATGTATACATCACTACAAACAACGACTTTGACAATGAATTTTCCAAGGTTTTTGTATGCTACCAAGTGTTTATGTACTTTTAAGGTTCGCAGTATTTATCTATTTCTATGATCGAAGGTTAGAGATGTTCGCCTTTAAGGACTTTTCAGCACGGTCTGCATTGTTTTATTTTTTTTCTTTGTCTCGCCAATTTTGAAATATCATAGAATGAATTTGGTACTTTTTTGTATACTACATTTATTCTAATCGTTCACTGATATGTTCAAAGTCTCCGAATGTGGATCCCACCATTCGAAAATTGTATGAAGTTCTAGAAATTACTTTAATTTCTCAAGGTACTAAAATGTTCTAAGAATATTCACTGAGAATAAATGAATCTTCGAATATTTCGGAGTTTCTGGTATAGTTAGGAATAAAAAACATTGTTGACAATCCAGAATAGACAGGTATTACAATTAGCGTAGTTATTAAGACAGATTGGATTTAGAAAATTTTCTTTCAAATGATGCTTTAAATATTGTGATGAGTTGTTGCATGGATGGAACTTCGAAATTTTGTTAACGGCTTGCTAAAATGTTCCAGCGTCCATTGATCTCAACATATTTAAGAAAATGTTTAATGTTTAATTCTTATAGTACGTAGAATAATTATAACGTTGAATAATTTTTTCAAGTGGTAAGAACTTCAAGTAGTAACAAATAAGTGTTCAGAATATGGAATGAGAAAAGATATGGCTTACAAGATTTAAATTAGCTACTAATATTTTGAAGATATTGTTATTTTCTTTGTTTAACAATTAACTAACATTTTACAAACCCCACCCTTTTTGTGTTTTCAAAATATTACAAATATATACATATTAATAATCGTGCTTCTTGCATTTAATTCAATTTTTCTGTCAAGCTATTCACCGTAACTGCCGTTTTGAAAAGGTATTTGATTTGACCCACAACAGTCGGAAAAGTACTTGATTTATTTTATATCTTATCTGTGATATTACAACAGTTATTCATGCGGTAATAAATTGTAAAACGTACCTTATCGCTCAGTATTTCGTTTAAAACTTCAAGATACTTGTCTGGACCGCCCAAAGATTCGATTACAGTATTCACTTTATCATTTATTATTTCTATGAGTTGTACAGGATCTTGAAATGTCTCTTGACTATCTGGTAACGTTTCAAGTATGTCCTGTAAAATATTTTAATGCGAAAATTTAATTATTAACAAAATTTCATATTTCTAATACGAAATATAAAAATCACATGTACGTTTAAGTAAACTACAGTGAGAAGGTACTATAGTAATACACACTAATTTAAGGAAAAGAAAATAGTTGGAATTTAATTGATCTTCCAAGAAGAAGATACAGCCAACGGTTAAAACTCGTGTCTTTACGTGTCAAATTCTTTTAGCCAAATTCTTTTCTATTTCCAATGTTTATAGACACCTAGCAGCGAAGTGAAAGAAGAAATAGAAAAACCGAAGGCGAGTTAACGAGTTAGGGTTATCTGTACGGATTCTAGGGATCGATTGAATCAATAATTGATATTCTCGCTCCTTTACGTGCTACCGAAGTATTTACATTCGATCAGCTTGGAAGGTGTTAATGTGTAGGACAACGGCTTCTTCGGGTGAGAATTACAGTCAGAGATTGTTGAAGGGAATTCATTGGTGGATGAACAGCGAATAGGACGCGCGTCAGGGGTGTTAAGTCTTCAGAGACAATATAGTCGGTATGAAAACTCGAGACGGCTCCATCGTGGCAGACGCCATTGAGGACGGCTTCTCTAATTTAATTAAGGATTTACATGGTATTTCCATCGGCCATTTTAACATGACACCGGCCGATGGGATTTAATTTTGTGGACTCTTCGCCTTGGGATGTGTTAATTTACTGCGATATTTCTTCGGTTTATTGAACGACTCCATGTTAATTGAAAACTCTCGTTGGGACAAAAACTAATTATGCAATAGTTTCATTGTACAATCTATTGTTGTTTATTATTCATTTCGTCCACGAATAAATCCTGCAATCTATGTAACAGTCTTACTGTTGTATTTGAATTCTTCCGTCTACGCTTTAAGAACAAAATGGCGAACATTATTAGACTGCTGAAAAGGTGAAACAAAATTGATTAATAAGTTAGCGGAAGTTCAAAAGTATTCATGGTTCAAATTATCTTCAATATCATTTCCGCGGGAAGAATATATTTAAAATAATTTTTTACCCGGAATTTATCGCACAAATTCCATAACACGGCGCTGATCTCTTGAAGAAGGTCTTCGACTTTTCGCGTTTCTTCCGCAGCTTTCCGTTGTCGCGTTCGTTGTTCGTCGATACGATGGTTTAATTTGTCCACTTCTTCCGCGTTCCTGAAACATTATATTTCATGAATCGCGGGTTCAATTTCTCTTTGAGATGCGCGAGATGAGCGACTCACTGCTCGGCGTTCTTTGTTTCAGAGAATTTCCTGGTTTCCATCTCGGCGATAAACTCCTGTCTCTGCTTTTCTAAGGTCATTTTCTCTTGCTCCGTGGCCACCCGCATTTTCTGTAGATTATCCTTGGTCGCCCGCTGACCCAGAAACCGGTTCAGAACGTCCTCGGATCTGGACACTCCGGTGGCGCTGCAGAGCTTGGCGAACGCCACCTCCAGCCGTGTCACCTCGTCCTTGGTAATGTCCTCTGTGGTCTGCACACGGCTTTTCCCACGTGTGTCGAAATCATCTCGCAAACGTGAATGGAATATCATCTTTTCCAGTCGCTCGAGTTCCGTTTTTCGTTCCAGTACACGCTGCCTGTATAAATGAAGATTGCTCGTATACAGGCTGTCCTATAGGTTTCCCCGCGAAATTTTATCAGTATTTGCAAACTAGAACTAAAGTATCTTGTAATAAGAAGTTCTTAACAGTGAAACTACCGAACGTTTAATACGATTAATATGTAATCCTTACAAAAATTGTAGGGACAGATTTTTCTCGATTTCTTCATACATTCATCACAATAGGTGAAAGTATTTAATTTTAAAATCATTGAGTATATTTAACACTTTCAAGATATCAATAACTGCGAAATAAGCAACTGAAACTCGTCATTCTAACGAGTGCTGTGCGCAATACTGTGCGCAATAAAGTTAGTTAACATTTGAATGCAACTTAATACACTGAAATTATGAAAATCTATAATAAATATTCATTAATATCTTTCACTAACAATAATGCAAAAAGTGTTAGAGTTTAATTAAGAATTGGCAATGAGTAACAAGAATAAACGTTTACATTCCACATTTATATTCATACGATTGGAAAAGTTGTGTTTATTTGAACCTGTATTCTTCAAGAACGGCATTTCGCTCCCTGCTACAGTTGGTAACTTCGATTTCTTCCTTAATCAACGTTTCCTGCGTATTGTTTCTTAACTTAATAGCTTCTTCCTTCACTGCCTACGCATAAAAGTTCACGTCGATTTGGTATCTTTAAGAAGATAACGAAGAATACAGTTTAATTTCATGCCTTGCCTGCAGACGTTTCACTTCGTTCTCTTGCTCTCTAATTTCATCTTCCAAACTCTTCAACGAGGAAGCGTACGACACAGATTTTTCTTTCAAATTTGAACGCATGGCTCGATATTTCATTCGCGTCAGGTTCGCCTTTATCTGTTTCATTCTAATGTGTTCCAAGTGTACTTCCAGTTTGACGATTTTCTGTGAAAGCACGCAGGAGCTTAAGCAGTCGTAAAAATTGCAATATTCTTATAGCTTTATTTCGACTCACGTTTCGCAACGGATTATCCATCTTTTTCTTGAACAATTTTTGCATTTTATCGTTCACTAATTGGTCATACTCTTCCAACAGCGATCTTAATTTCGTCTGTCGCTAAGGGATATTCATGTTGGAATATTCTTACACACCCGCGCGAAATCTTCATCGGGAGATTAATATCTGGCTGCTTACCTTCTCGCACTGATACTTAATTAGATCGTGTTTCTTTCTTAAGCGTACATTGTCCTCCTGCGCTTTAGCAATTGTCTCGCTTAAATTACTTTTTTTCCCATAGGCCGAGGACTCGCGACTCATGTGAACCTCCGTCTGCGATTTTCCCTCGTTCTGAAACGTATGGCGTTTTAAATTCAATTTCTCGCGGGGAATGGATTTTCGAGTTTCTTCGATTACGTTTTTCGTTTTCGCGTATTCGACGTACAACTCCTTGACATTCTGTTTGAGAGCTGAAATTTTCTCCGCGTGCTCATGCTTTTTTGCCTCGTACTCCTCGAAATTCGCTTTCCTTTGACCCTCTATGAAGAAAATTTACGTGAATCGTACTATTTAAAAGATTAGATTAGATTCCTTATATTTATTGAATTCGTTTTTTTTTGATTTAACAGCATTATTAGAGCCTCTTATTAAATTTTACTGTTTCTTCTTTATTTTGATACATATTAATATATGTATTAACTAATATCATATTTTTTCTTCTTTCTTTGTTTCATAAAATTTAAGTGGTTTTCTGTTGGATGTAATAATTAAAGATTATATAAATTGAAAAATTGGAAGTTCATATTATAATAATAACAATGAATATAAAATAATTGTTCGGTGGGTTAATTAAAATTAATTTAAGTTGGATTAAGTAAATTTAATAGTATAAGTTCAGATGGAAGCATATTTAGTACTTCATAGTATCATTTTTATAAGAAAAATTTGTTATTTATATCTGATTTATAAATTGTTTTAATTATTTTATCAGGAAATACGTATTAAATAATGATTAAATTGGAAGAATAATTACAATTTATCAGAACAAACTATTAATATAGGACGCAATAATATGTATGAAAGTAAGCAACTGTAATCCGTTCTTCGCCATTTGGAGATATTAAAAATATGAAAATTGTTAAATTTGAAAAAAGTGCGGTTAGCCAATTCGGCCGCGAAGAGACACGATTAGGCTGCGAAACAGCCAGGAAAAATGTTTTTCATAATAATAGCCGAAGGATAAAACAAATACAAGTCGTGACTGTACTCGTGATTGCGATGGATCGATCCCTGTAGCCATGATCGTCGTATTTTGCATGAACACCTTGAAAAAACTGAATTACCTAGATTACTTAAATTGATGTCACGATTTTCCTTAAAAGAGAAGAACGTTTAAGGAAATTTGCTAATGCCAGGTTGCCGGTTGTCCTTTTAGGCGATTTCAAGAATGGGGACAGAGATGAATAGTCGCGATGTCTCTTCGATGGTCAACTTAGACGTTGTACAGTCTTAACGTCAAGTATATTAGCATTATGAAAGTTTCAAGTATGTTGTACAAACATAACCTGTACACATTTTGACATTATTTTGTAGTATTAACATTACTCAATGGTCTAATTGTTGAAAAAAATGTGTCAAATAATAATTTTCAAAACTCACAGTTTCAATTTGTTATTCCGATTAATGAAATTCCGATTAATTACATTGAGATTTAAATGATCTTGTTTATCTGGCTATATAAAAAGTTCCAGCGAAAATGACTATGCATATCATCGAAGTTTATAAATTAAGACTGCTTAACATAGAAACTGCACTTATATCAACGCACGTGATAACATTGGGATGAAAATATCGTGAACGATGAATATTAGAAATCATTTTCTGAAGGGAAGTAGTATCTCATAACTGGAGATAGTAAACCAAGGCGATGCTCGGTCGGTTGCATATGTAAATAGAAATGCTTATTGGAATATCCATTTTATAATTCAAGTTTTGATAGCAACATATCGATAAACTAGTGGAAAATTCCTTTTTTTCGACGGGGCCACTTATGAGACGTGAACATTTCTTTCTGGGCTCTAGTCTTTCCGGTTAAACGTGTTCTTATATATCTTCGCGTGTAATCAGGAACTGGCTTGCGAAATAAATGCCAGCGAATTTTCTTTATTTTTCGAGGCTAATCTCTTCGCGCCGAGGTGTAGCAAACATATGAATATTAAACCATGATTAAGAAAACTGATTATAGTTTTACTACTGCCCGTAATATGGTTTTGCGCGCTGCTTTACCTGACAACTGGATCTTCTTCTTGATTTCCGCGATTTTCTTATTTAAATCGTTTAACTTGTTCTCGACGCTTGGCGTTAACGGATCGGACATGTTGTCTCGAAGGTATTAGAAGATCCACGTGGTGCTTATCGACTCAACAATGCGTTGCCTTAGCGATGGGATTATATAAAGCTTGACGTTTATAGTTGGGCGTTAAGATATAATGAACACCTTACTAGAGCTATTCGAAATGCACCAAGCATTTTCAATAACTTCAAGTCCTAATTAAAAACTTGTTAATTGCACCTATTAAAATACTTTCATGTAATGGATTTTTCTACTACGTCTACAAGATTACATTTAAAAGTGTAAACAAACTTCTACTTCAATATCAATATTTTCAATTTGTAGTGACCAATTTTCAATTAATATCTACTCAAGTTGCAAATATTCAAACACAAATAAATAAATCTTGGCATATTTATATAATGATATAAAACGTATAGTATTAGTTTCGTATACTCCTTGTTTGGTTATAACATTCCAGCAGATATAGTATTTATTGGTCCCAGAGAAATGGCCACCGGCAAAGAATAATTTCGAGTGAAAAAGAACGATGTTTCCGTCGGCCATGCAATATTTTGCTCTACAACAACGTGTCGCACGCAGATGTTTGCGGTACGATGATAGGGTTAATAGTTTCATTAATAAAAACTAACGACTGCCGCGTATTTACAGTTTCATGCTTGTGGATCTCGTGGTCGGGGCACAAAAGGGAAAGCAATTCGTAAGGCTTCGCCCGTTGAATGGTCTTAAGGAGGGGGCACCGAATTATAATTCCGCATTTGTATTCGTTAAGGCAGCAGCCGCGCCTGGCGGCGGCTATACCGACGATGAATTTCGCGTTACACGCAATCAACCGCTGGAAGGTTAATTAATGATCAGACATGCCCCGCCAGTGCCCGACGAGGCTCATACGCATCGGCGTCTTGGCACTTTATAACTGACCACGTTCGTTGCGTTCCGTTTGCCGGCTGAATTCTAGAGAACCGTCACGCGCGACGGCGTTAGATTTCAATCCGACGTGGAATTGTCGATTTCGCTTGAATTCCCGAAACAAAGAGACTCACCGCTGGAGATTGCTGTAAAAGCAGTTTGATTATCACGACTGCGTTGCACCGTGTTAGTCCTACATACGGAAAAATCGAAAAGACTTTTGTACATTTCGAACAGTTGCTTATTAAACGTGGAACACATAATTACAGTTTACACGAGCTTGTAATCGTATTTTGTAAAATATGTTTGTACAGAAATGAATAGTGAGACTTTTGTTTCATTTTTAATATGAAAAGCTTCTTAATCAATTATTTATGTAACATGTTTTATGAAATTAAAGATGTGCGGAATAAACATTAGGACAAAATTGTTGTGCATGTTAGTACTGGTTAATACTTGTCGAAATTTCGAATTGTTCTCGTGTATGAATGATGCTATTTCGTTAAATTATATTTTTATATCAAGTAGCTAACATTTTCGCATTCCTTACTTGAACATAGTTTTAAAGTACTTTCTTTTTGTTATTTTCCATTTCTGTAATCAGGAGATCGATTTTATAACGGCATTAAATGACTCTTCAGCAGATTATCTATTTACGATTAATAAAATATACTCGATATACTCGAACGCAGAACCGGTAATTAATATTCCATAACTCCATTTCCTCTTCCAGTTTGAAAAATACCCCTTTCCCGCGTCAGTGATAAGAAAACGGTAGAACAAATAAATTTAAAATATAAAATTTTACAATGCATGAACAATTCCTTAAAATAAATTTATTATTTTCAGTATAAACCACAATGAACATCCCAAACTTAATAAATATTGACTAACGTATCAACAACAATTCATTTAAAAATTATTTAAATCCCTTTTCCAAAAAAGATAATCCGATTTTCAACGAAACGCGAAGTGCGTTCTACGGCGCCGTTCCCGTGTAGCTGCGCTCCGATTGGTTCACGTGGTCAGCCATCCCTTGCCGGCGTATTGATACAGCGTCCGTAGATAGGTGCGCGCGCATCGGGGAACTACTTTCAGCGCGTTAAGCGAACAATAGGGATCCCAGAAGTGTTTCGGACGCGGTCGTGTTCGTATACGGTTGCCGCATGATTTTTTTCTGGTTCTGGCTCGCGTGTACGTGTATACAGATTATCTGGACGTAACGGAGGTAACATAGATCTCGGACGATGTGCGTGGTCAAGTGACGGTACGCGTATTTCATACTGAAGTGTACTAAAGTGTTGGTTTCTCTCTAGTGTGTGCGCCCGGGCCCCGATGAGTGTGTGTCTGCTCGATGTGTGTGGATAAAATTCACGGCATCATGTTGTTGCCACGCCGAAAATTGGATTACGCATCGATGGCGTTTCTCTCGTTGCCACTGCTGCTGCTGGTTTCCCTGCCCGCGGTATCCGGTAAGTCTTTTCAACGATGCTGTCCTTTTGGTACAGCCGAATCGTCAGCCAGGCTCGCTCGGTTTGAAGTCGTTGCTCGCCACATGCCGCTGCTAGGCAACAGGTCACGAAACAACGCCGAGCGCCGGCGCGTTGGACGCTCCGCCGCCTTTAACTGACGTTCCGCGTCTCCTTTGAATATTTTCTCCGTAAAATGTCGTTGAAAGCTGTTCGAGGTCAGCGCGTCGCAAGATTATCGAACGATTTCGGCCCACCGTGCAATTGGTATTCCGCGGCTGATTTTCGGCAACGGTCTGCTCGCTTTCAATTACTACCTGTTTCGAAAATATTGACCGTTTCGGTACCTGTATGTTCCTGTTCGATACTCCATGCTTCGTTCCCGTTCAAAATTCTTCTCCATCTTTTTTTTTACCGCGATTTATTTGGCGAATTAATGATTTCACGTTGGGACAACGGTTGGACGGTTATCATTGAAATTAGGTTAGAAACTAATATTCTTGGAAACGAATTTGCCTCGAACGTTGTCGATAACTGAAAAGAAAATTCTTACTGAGTTAATTTCTATTGTATTGTTGACGTTCGCGTGCTAGCCACCTCGAACACACGTGGTTATGTTACTGTCACAGTGGTGCTCAATTTCGATACTGTCGATAACCGGGTGCCTGGAGGTTGGTAGTCCCTGAGGGACAGGTGCTCAACCCTGCTTTCCAGGAAACGAGCCTTTCTTCCCTCGTGTGGCACGTAAACATTCGAACCAGCATTTCGCGTCCCCGTTTCCTCTCGGCATTGTGCACAAATAACAGCTTAGTTTTCCTCTTCTGGTGGGTATTCTTATATTAACATAGAAAATGAATAATTTTTATCATTACCATCCTCTCGGTTACTCCGGAACGATAAACACACTAAAGCCTTATGATTAAACTTTTCTTTCATAAAAGTTACGTATATTTTATTAGTATATTATTCTTATTGAGAATAAAGGACAATGATTCTTTTAAGTCATGAATGTCTATTCACAGCCAGCCATCGTACATTTAGACAGATGTTGAACTGTTGATTCTTCCAATTGTCAATAATTCTTCCACAAATATACGTGTTTATTTATTATAATCCTTTGGTTTATATTTTTCACACGCACGTGAAGATGTTTATGGGCATTTAGTTGTCGGAACGTCGATAACACCGGGGATTTCTGCAGACAATAAACTCACGTGAAATGCAAAACACGCGAATTCGTGTTTATTTTAGAAAATGCCAGCACAGAGTATTTTATAACCTTTTGTACGCTTACGATCGTGAATTTTCATTTTCACTTTTCCACAACGCATAAATCACCGGCGGGTCGTGACGTAACGCTGGCTCAGACCAATGAGTACTTAGGCGGGAAGAGCGTGCAGCCGCTACAAAGCAGTCCGCTAAAGAAAGTTAGCAAAACTGGATAGCAACGACGCGCGGACAAACGCGAACTCTCCAGTCCCCGCTGGTTTTATATCATTGCGCAATGAAGTCCAAAAAACCATTGACACAAATAGTTGAAACGTTTTCACGTTAATCTGGCTTCTACTATCGAAAAATTGTATTTCCTAGGTCTCATAAGAAATTTATTTTATTCTTACTTTTGAATATATTATAAAATATATTAAGCAGAAAGTAAGTACTCGATAGTAAGGACTCGATATTATAGCAGAAGGGGTTAAGTGATTCCTTAACATGCTTGAAATAACTGATCCAAGTAATCCTTACATAACGTTATTGAATCGTGTAATATTTTATGAGATAGATTGTAAGATGAAAAACAAACATATCAGAATTTATATATCTAAGAGTACGTTTATAGCAGACCTGCGATAATCGATTAGAGCTGTGATGCGAGTGAATCGAGGAAATAACTATTTTTGTTTGAAACAAAACTGTTTACTCTGAAGAAATACGTAGAGCTGCGTTCAATTAATTAATCAACGATACAACCGTTGTGAATCGATGCTTTCTTAGCTTCTATTGCAGCTCCGCCATAAACTATCTTTAGATAAAGATGTTCCTGCAACTCTATACCAAAATGAATACGTATTGAGATAAATAGATTCTATTTACATTAGAGGAATGAATAAAGAACTGAGCAGAAATAGAAAATATGAAGTAACAAAATTTTGGCTTTATATTTTTAACTAAGGTATCCACTTTGATTGATATTTTTAAAGAGGTTTAGCTAAGAAGAAAGAAGGTGTTAAAAGCGTTTTGTTTGTAATTTTCATTTAGAAATAATGTTACTGATATTAAATCCCTGTATCTAATTTTAGAAATTACATTACGAAATGAAAAATTGATCTTGTTAGTAATGTACTACTCGTTGATTAATAGTATTTCGTTTTTTCGAGGTTTGAAGCATTGAGTAATCGCAGCTGAAGTAAAACAGCATGTCGTTAATTATTTTTCGTTTTTTAATTTCTATCTGAGGATTGACGTTAGTTAAGGATCGAAAAAAAGTGTTGAATGGTCGGGGATATATTCCGGAATGTTCTCCGATTGAGGCGGGCTGACAGTCGCTTCCGAGAGCAGATCGAGGTCCTCGCCTCGAGTCTGTTACTTTGCGTTGAGATACTCTGAATGCGGCATGGCGGCAGTTCTCCAGACGCTCGCTGTTCGTACGTTCTCAGGCTTTCTCTTCTCTCTCTCCTTAGGAAACGATTCGCCCAGACTTTAACGTGCTTTCACACAAAATTACGCGTCTTCTGCGCGCCGATATACGCATCGTATTTATTTCCACGAGGCTAAATCGCGATTGATTGAGATATTATCAAAATTACGAAATACATTTAAGAACTAACACATTGTTCGAGTTGAAACGAACTAGGATTAAGGATCTACGAGGTTAATATTAAATGATTGGATTATTATTGATACTCTGCGCGCGAGAAATAGAAGTTTTTGTTTTAGAAATGTAGAAATTTCAAATCTTTTTAAAAGAGTCGTATAAGGTTTTATCATACTTCGTATACAGTTTTATAGAATTTAGAAACGACGTGAAATGTTATAACGTCTAATTTAACAGTCGCAATAGGAACTATACAATTTAATTACAAAATGGTGTGAAATATTTTCCAATTCGAATTTGATGTTAGTGAAACACATTGATTTAATTTCGTATTAGTAGAACATTGATTACTTCAGGTAATCACCCAAAACTTCAAAACGTTCAAACTGATTATATATGACAATATGAAGTTTTCTATTCAACCCGTGGATTTTGAAACAAACTAAATTAATGAGGTATTCCAATTTCCATTATAAATTCTCGGAAAAGGAATGAAAAGTAACTCAAAATTCTTTTTTGAAAATAAAAACCTTTACGAACCAAATACAATTTTCCAATAACAATCTTAAAAACATAAGCAAAACTAAATATATGTTTATAAATATTCACCAGAGAAGTAATGTAGTTTCAATACACAATTTAATATTCTATAGCTGGTGGAGGAAAAGCAACCCCTTAGTCTGTCTAAGGTTAATTTCAGAACAATTTTCTGCGTTGTTGAACCAGAAAATCAAAATCAATTTTCCAGAAGCTACTAATTAGTCTGCTATCCTGTATATTCAAAAGCTGTTTAGTCGGTTATAATTCTTCGATTTCGAATCGTTGACGCGACCAACAATTACCAGTTCTGGATTTCCTTCTTCCCTATCATTCACGTCTCCAAAGACACTCGAAACTGGCATGACTTAGAATCCGATGTACGACCGACCTGCAACCGGTTCCTCGTTCCCTTTCATCGATTCAGGGGCCACACGAGCCTCCCGTGCATTCGTGCATGCACGCCGATGCAACTTGAGAAACGCGTGCTCGACGATACTAAAGTCTGCCGCGCGTCTCTTTCGCCGTTCACCTGGAGGGAACGCGTTCCCCAATAAAGGTCACAATTTGACGATCACCGGAATTCGTTTGCAATATCATTACAAAAATTAATATAAACCTCTTATAACCAAATTTCATTCGCCCCCGATTAAAATCGCACGGTAGATTAAACAGAAATCACTTTAATCCAACGCACGAAGTAAACATAAAATCGCAAACCATTATTGTTTCTGTTAATTCAATGTTAAAATGCATATAGGAAGAGTAAATTTAAAAGTTTGTTACGTATAGGAGTTTAAACTCATGAATTATACAGGGTTAAAAGGATAAAGATAATTTAGACGTATTTTCAGTAATACGTAACTTGTTCTCCAAGTTTTTTCTGCAGTTCACAGCATACATTGTCACAATAAAATATTTTAAATAGACAATAAAATTCCAAATATATCCTTAAGTCACTTTTTTACAATAAAACTAAATTCATAAACAATACTTAATAAACTAAATTGATTTTCATTGTTAGTTTAAGTACTTCACTACTCGCACAGAACAAAGTATCACAGCAAAATAAATACTCGACTTGCAAAGTTACATGTTCGATTAGAAATAAAATACACCGTTTGAAATAAATTTTACCTGTTCAAGACTCACCGGTGCTAAACTCCGAGAGGGTGAAAGATAAACACGAGTCACTTGTAATCCCGGAATAGACGGGCGTCAATACCTTTTCCCCTGTTCCCCGATCCTTCTGTTTTCTCCGTCAAGAAGGTAGATCGAGGAAAGACTAGAGATAGCCGGTATCTCGCGGCATCTGGTAACTAAAAGGGTTAGATCTCTGTCTCCCTGTTGCGTACGCTGACCCGGCCTATAGGCCACACGGGCATTTGCATTCGTTTCAACCCCCTCGTTCTCCCTTTTCTATCCCGTTGTTGGCCGCGTAGCGTAAAACCGCATAATTAAGGACCCTCGGCTACCGGTACGTACGTGTGTCCGTCTGTTCCCTCTGTTCTTTCGTTTTCCTCCGCGAGTTACGTTGTCCACCGTCGTACGGAGATCCGCGGTGCTCCTCAGTATCGCGCAAGGATCGAGGATTGTGCCGTCAGTCAACGGCGGGACAGCCGCGAGCCCTTATAAAGCACGAAAAGATCTA